ACCTCCATCGGCTCCCCCCCAGACATCATCCCACCAGGACCCCATCACTGTTGGCTCCCCCCATCAGCAGGCACCATGGAGGCCTGGCGGCAATGCGCCCACTGGCTGGTGGCGGCGCGGGTCCTGCCCGCGGGGCACCGGGCGAGCAGTTCCGGGGGGCAGGTGTGGGACCTGGCGCAGGCGCTGCGGGATGGGGTGCTGCTCTGCCACCTCCTCAACGCCCTCCTGCCCCGTGCTGTGCCTGCTCGCGACATCTGTCCCCGTCCCCAGATGTCACAGGTATGACCGGGGGCAAATACTGTGTGGAACTGCCCCAGGCTGGGGTAACTGGGGTAGTACTTGCCCCAGAAAAGGGTATGGGGGTGATGGTTCCAGCGGGGATGATGGTGATGGTGGCAACGACAGGGCTGGTGTGAATGAGGGTGGTGGCAATGGGGTGATGGTGGTGATGACTGGGACGATGGTGGCAATGGTGATAGCAGGGGTGATGATGATGGTGGTGATGCTGGTGCCAGTGGGGATGATGGTGGTGGTGACAACAGGGTTGACGGTGACAAGTGAGGATGATTCTTATGGTACCAATCCCTATGCTGTTGGCAATGGGGATGATGATGATGGTGACAGTGACAGTCATCACAATGGGGTGACAGTGTTGACGATGTTGGCAATGATGGAGGTGACCACGATGGTGTCTGTGGGTGTAGTGCTGCAGGTGACAGTGACCATGGGGGTGACGATGACCATGACAGTAAAGGTGATGATGTTGGTTCTGGTGCCGGTGGGTATGACAGTGACGATGGTGTCGGCGCCAGTGATGATCATGGTGATGATGGTGGTGCTGGTACTGCTGAGGGCAACATTGACAGTGACTTTGATGGTGACGGTGATGATCATGGTGATGATGGTGCCAATGGGGGTGACAGCGACAATGGTGGTGATGTTCGTGATGGGGGTGACAGTGACGATGACAGTGTTGATGGTGGCACCCAGTGTCAATGGTGGTGACAAGGAGGGCCAGCAATGGGGGAAGATGATGGGGTTGATGATGCTGATGGGGATGGCAGTGGCAGTGACAGTGATTGTGATGGTGACTATGATCGTGATGGTGACAATGATCGTGATGGTGACAATGGGGGTGCTGCTGGAGATGATGGTGGTGACACTGTGCCACCACAGTTCCTGTGCCTGAGGAACATCCGCACCTTCCTGACCGCCTGCTCTGACAAGTTCGGGCTCCCGAAGCACCGGCTCTTCGGCGCCTTCGACCTCTTCGACGTCCAAGACTTCGGCAAGGTGGGACTCAGAAGTCCAAGTCAGACCTGGGGGGACCCAGGTGTCCAGGTCCCTCCCCCCCAATGTCCCCTGTCTGACCCCAGGTGATCGACACCCTCTCGACGCTCTCCTGGACCCCCATTGCCCAGAGCAAAGGCTTCACGTGAGTGCAGGGGACCCAGGTGTCCGGGCCTCCTCCCTGAGGGACCCAGGTGTCTGGTTCCCGAGGGACCCAGGGCTGTGTCCTGCCCCCCGTTCCCCAGGCCCTTCCCCACGGAGGACTGTGTTGGGGACGATGACATCTACAGTGGCCTCTCTGACGTCATCGAGTGAGTGGGGCAGGTCGAGGGGTGTTAGGGAGATACTGGAGGGTACTGGGGGTAGGTTAGGGGGTTCCAGAGGACTTTAAGG